TAGAAATTTTCAATTGCAATTTCATCGGAGTTGGAACTTCTGTTGGATTTTCAATTGCCCATAACTTATACTAGATTTATTGGTTGGAAAAATAAATCAACGATATTACATATTTCAAAAGAAAATCTACAGGTCAAATTGGAGTTTGCCTGTGTAGGGACCCTTTTGTTTGGGTTGCAGAACAGGATAAAAAATATCAGATTGGCTTTGTTGGGATGGAAAGCTCAACAGGTCACTAATTCTTTTGTCCTCATTGAAACCTACAAGCCCAGACTTTCAGTGTTGATGAAAGCAGAGGGATCCAGGGACTGGGGAGAACGGTACACTTGCAAGAATAAACTTGACCAAGCCTACAAGGAGGAGGAGAGTTATTAGAGACAAAAGTCCAGAGTGTTGTGGCTGAGAGAAGGCGATCATAATACAAAATACTTTCATGCTTGTGTGAGGAAAAGGAGAAGGTTGAATAGCACTGAAAGCTTGATCACGAGAGATGGTCATAAATGCAGAAATGAGAAGGAAACTCTGGAGAAAATTGTGAATTTTTATCAGGAGCTTTTTCAAACATCCAATCCATAGCTCAGCAGTTGTAACCTAAATAGAATCCCTTGCACCATCACAGATGAGTTAAACCGTGATCTCACTCTCCCTGTTGAAGAAAATGAAATTAGAAAGGCCCTGATGGAAGTGCATCCACACAAGTCTCATGGTATTGGTGGTATGGCCCCTTTTTTCTTTCAATCTTTCTGGAATGTGATTAAACACGACTTCTGTTTGGCCATAAAAAAATTTTCAACTCAGGCAGATTGCCTAGAACTACTAACCACACCTATATTACCTTAATCCCTAAAATTCACAATCCTTGGTTGATCTCAGACTTAAGACCTATAAGCCTTTGTACAGTTACCTACAAATTTATCTCTAATATCCTTGCAAATAGAATTAAACCTGTTTTGATACTCTCATTTTTTCTAATCAGACCGCTTTTGTTCCTAGCAGATAGATGTTGAATAATGTTGTGATTGCAAATGAATGCATCCATTATATTAATAATAAAAGACAAGGCAGAAATACTTTTATGGCTCTCAAACTTGACATGGCTAAAGCCAATGACAAAGTCGAATGGTCATTTTTAACCTTGGTTTGTAAGAAAATGAGATTTTGTAGTACTTTTATTTCTTGGATTTCGGTCTGCCTTAATTCCTCTTCTTTCTCTTTTAACCTAAATGGCCAACCTTAGGGTTTTGTTACTCCTACTAGAGGTATCAGACAAGGTGATCCTCTTTCACCATATCTGTTTATTTTGATGTCTGAGGCCTTATCTAATCTTATTAAACAAGCTTGTAATTGTCTGTCCTTTAAGGGTCTTAAAGTGAGTAAAAATGCCCGTGTCATAATTCACTTATTTTTTACAGATGATTCTATAATTTTTTGTAGGGCACATTCCTCTCATGCTCTTATTTTGTTGAATCTGCTTAAGAATTTTAGGCTGCCTCACGCCAGTAAGTCAATATGGCCAAATCCTCTGTTTTTTTCTCAAAGAATACCCTGGATTCAACCAAATCAGAAGTTTGCAAAATTTTTGATGGAATCATGGTAGTCTCTTCTTCTAAATACTTGGGGTTACCCTTGGGCATTGAGAGGAAAGAAAAAAAAACCTTTAATTTTGTGAGTGAAGTTGTTTTAGCCAAAATTTATAACTGGAAAAATAGCTTTCTTAGTGAGGCAGAGAGAGAAGTATTGATTAAAGCAGTTTTGTGTTCCCTGTCTACATATGTGATGTCTTGTTTTAAATTACATGTGAGGATTTGTGCAGGAAAGCAACAGATTTC